CTTCCTTTAAAATGTCCCAACAGCTCTCTGGTTCAGGCTTACACATCCCAAGACACCAATGATTGGACGGTAAGAAACATCTCAAAGCTGAACATTTCAGAATATTTTTTCAATGTAGCCCTGAGTTTTGAAAACAACCCTAATAAAAACCATGCTGTTTGATTTTGTTTCTTTCACCATTTCATTTCAGTTCATATGTGCTCTTCCAAGAATTTTATTATCTTTTTAGTTTGCATTCAGTTAGAACTGAAGTGATTAGAATAGTGATAGAAAAAAATGGCTTCTTGTTTAACACCATATAAACTACATGTGTTGTCTGAATTTCATCAGGGTGGCTTGGAAATTGAAAAGTTTTTGCTTGACAACTTCGATGTGGGAGGAACCGGCTCCAATACCTACAAGTTTGTTTCACAAAAGATCAAAGAGGATCGCTACACTTTCAGCATACACAGTGTCACCTGCAGTCATTATGGGTAGGATGGAAATTAGACTTTTTTCATTGCGTTCTGACAGGTCATGGTTTTTGAAATAATTGTCTAATTTTGTCTTGGTGTCTAGATTTATATTATCATCCAAACCTCCCTTAAGCTTAGAGTTCAAAAAGCAGTTAGACGTCCTGCCAACTCACTACAACTACTCCACAAAGAACGAGTATACAAACCTCATACAGACCTATGGCACACACTTCATGAGACTGGTGAGAACTTTGGCACACACACACATTGTGAATTAGTTACAGACATTAATCTACAGGGAAGCATTTCAAAGAACTTTATACCCGTTTTAGGTTCATCTTGGAGGGCGACTGAGACGAATGACATCTTCACGAAGCTGCTTGTCCTCCCTGAATGGATTAACCTCAAGTGAGGTAACAAAACGCACAAAACAACAGATTTTTACACAACCATATGAGATATGTTCAAGAAGATTTTAAGTTATAGTATATTTTTGGGAACCATCTGGCTCAATCTTCTTCTTACGGATCCCAGGTTCTCCCTATGGGCCGCGTGTAGCCACACAGAAAGCAACAATGAGTGCAGACGTCACAGAATTACAAAGTTTAATCCAATAGAAGACAACGCATAAAATTACAACAGAAACTGCAGAACAACAGAGACATACATTCATTTACCTGAGACAAATGGAAAAGAAGGAAGAAAGAAAGAAAGAAAAGCAAAGACATGCAAAGACATCTTTGGAGAATTGCAAGAGCAAATCTGATTCGTTACTTCTGTGTAGGAAGTTTTATAGTAAAGGAGTATTCTTGTCTTTAATTTATTCAAATAAGGCATACCTTTGCTCATCCAACCAGAAGCTATCTCTGACCTTTTTAAAACTCCTAGCAAGTCACGATCTAAGACCATTTGTCTCCATTGTTTAAACAAAGTGGAAGCAGAGATTCTCCTGAACTCCTGCTGTTTTATGGCTTTTCACAAATGAGTGTGAAAAGCTGAAACTTCTCCTGATTGTTTCCCACACAGATAAAGGGCAGTTCAAAAGATCTTAGCAAACAATCTGCTATAACTACAGGTAACATAAAGGTCAATAGGCCAGAATAAGTTACTAATTTCAAAACTATAATTAGACTATTTAAATCAAGACATGTTAAGCTTTAAAACTAGCATATTTCAATTTTATTTTCCGAACAGATACTTCCATGATTCTAATACCCAGTGTAGAAAGTAAAACGGTACGGTCCGGTACTGAGTATCAGTGAAAGATTCTGGGTCAGTACGCAGTACCAGGAGAACGGCACAATAAGACTGTCAGAACGGCTACACATTTCACAAAGGTAGCTAGCAATAGGTAGTTTGAAACACGAATTAATCTGTTTATAAATAGGTTTTTTCTCTCATTCTCATTTCTTATTATTTCTGAACTGTTCGTGCTGTGTGATGGAGCCTGTACCCCTCCAGCCGTCTCTCTCTCTCTCTCTCCTCCTCCGCCCTCCCGGTGCTCGCAGGTTTCTCAGCAGCCTATAACGTCTGTCTGCTTATTACAAAATGTCCTGATTAAAAGCAAATGGTGATTATCTACAATGAAAA